AGAGGATTGGAGGGGAGCTGTGCCTCGAGGATCAGCTTTTCTGATAGATGGGACACACAGGGAGGGGACAGGTCGTTCCGTGGTGGGTGGTGCCTGTCTGTCTGTGTCTGTGTGTGTGGATCGCCGCTTCTCTCCGCTTGGCTTCGCTTCGCTTACTGATGTATTCTTTGCGGTTTTTGAACTCGTCGATTTCGACGAGGTTGCCGTCATGGTCCAGCCTCTGGGTCTTCACCCACTGCAGTGCACACACATGGATACAGAGAGAGAGAGAGAGATGCCGCTCTGTAGGAGCCTGCCTACCTTGTCCAGTGTGTGTATGGGAAGAAGCGCCAATCCACTCAACAGCCTCCCGTCAGACATCTCCACGTCGTCCAAACACTCAACGACATCCTCCTTCCTGCCGAAACAGACAGACACATGTGTCTATGCCTCTGTCTCTATGTGTGCGTGTGTGTGTGTATGGTTTCATTACATGGCATCCTTGATGGCCTTGACCGCGACTTCGGTCTGTCTGCTCTCGCCCGTGGACCACATCGATATCACCACACTCTTGCCCTCAGCCACGTCGCGCTTCGCACGCCGCACCACAGTCGACACCTTGGCCGTCACCTGCAGCACCTTGAAGAACCGCTGGACGGCCGCCCTGTGCACACCACACACACAAACACACACACACAGGGAGAGAGATGTGCGTGTGTGTCTGCGCGTGTGTATGTGTGTGTGGTGTGTGTGTGTGCATACCAGAACGCCTTGGTGGCAATGCTGAGTGATCGGCGAGACACAGAAGGAAAGAGAGAGACACAGACATGTGTGGAGTGGGTTGGTGTGGATGAGCGTCTGTGTGTCTGTGTCTGTGTGTAGGCACCCACCAGTCCTCCCGGCTCTCTGGGCTGTCGTACTTGCCAGAGGCGCACTCCTCACTGCACCACACCAGACGCACACAGCCGACAGACACAAAGAGAGATGGGGAGTCACCATTTGTGTGTGTGGGGGGGGGGGGGGGGGGGTTACCG